TACTTATCTAAATGTCACAAATATCTAACGTAAAAAAATACAATTTACATAATAATAGATATCGTATTATGTAAAAAAATTTTTATTAATTATTATTTATCCCATTTAACTAAATAAGTGTATATGTACAATATAAATGTATATGTTAATTATCAAAAAGAAATATTATTGTATTTTGATATCTAATTTTATGGAAATTTAAACGAGCAATGTTTGTTTTCTATGCAATCTCTTCTTTAAACATGCTTACGATTGACTTTTGAATCATGCCCTAGAATTCATCCACGGTATACATCCTCACATCAAAGAATCTGTTTTGCGCGTGTTGCACGTAAATACAGTGTCGTGCGGAATGTTTGTTTCGTTTATCAAAAGAATTCTATTGTTTTTGGCCCGGGTCCCAGAAGAACGGTCTACCGGAACTAGATATCAGCGCCGTAAGACAGATCGGTCGCTGCTCAGGTGGATACCCTCGAAACCTTCCGAAGATTTATACCACGAAAGTACATCGTCACGCGAACGCGAGGCCTAAGCCATGAAACGCGCAGCGCATTTCCGGTGGTGCGATACGACGCAGCCAAGTGCCTGTTCCATCAGACGACGGCGACGACGAACTCGCGAGAAAAAACGGGCGAGATACTAGGGGAAGAGACGGTGTTACATAAATCACTGAAACGAGAGAGCTACCGGAGGCATGAGGTTTTCGAATCGTAACAAAGTGGAAGATAGCCAGGCTCGAAGGCTAGGAGAATATGGCTACCATTTTTCCTCGGCTTCGACTGCTGAAAGCACACGTAACGGCGTAGGACAGTTTATGTCTACGTGATTCTGGCCTCCTCTTACCCTAGCTAAAGATCCCTCATCCTCCATCTCCTATTGCTTTTTCGCGCGTCGAAGATTTCGGCTTGTCATGCCTGGAGTCTTCGTACTCCCTTTTTCGTTTTTTCCCGCCGTATTTCTCATTCTCTCACATTCCGTTCTCTCACCGTCTCTTACATCAAGCTGCCACCTTGTATGCCTCCTTTTCGTGCCAACTCAAAAGGGATACGAATGGCCATCGACACTACGTACATGAAAACGAAAAACTTTTTCGTTGCACGTACTGGCACGTCCACTTTTCTGTCCGGGCCTTTATCGATCGAGCCTCTTTGTGCGTGGACGCGCTTTCTCGCACTGTCCTGACTTCCTTCATCCTTTTGCATTTTGTATACTCCCTGCTCCTCCATTGTCTGTTCTCGAGTTGTTATTTACGCGGACGTTGTCACGTACACTTATCACGACTACGTAAAGCGAATATTAAAAGCTAAAAAGAATGTGACTTAATATGATAAGCTTCAGCACTCCAAGTTAATTACGTATAAGTAAGAATGCAAAATCGTAAAATAAATTGAATGATATACGTTTTATTTAACTGAGCGACTGAGATATTATTATACAAAGGAATGAAACGTCGCGCAAAACTAATTGACTTGCGAAAAGCATTACGTCCGGCTAATAAATGTAATTACGTTTTCACATTTATTTACTACGTATATTCTACTTATCCGTCTGGCAGAATGGATGACAATGACCTTAAAATGTCGCGTAGTTGCCTGGTCGCAAACCCTCTCTAATAAAATACGATGCAATTTTGTTATGCTGAGAACAAGAATACGTGTACTTTGAAATGCAGTATTTTAACGCCACGTTGTATCATATTCCGTGGAGTAGCGCACGATGGGGTAATATCTTACTCCGAATCCTTTGCCCCTCTAGGGTAGTCCTGACCTCTCATAATGGAAATCTATCTTTCATCTATAATTATAATCGTGCGTTGGCGTGATGCATTTCGCGTTATCGCGGATCACGACGCGATAACACGTGTATCGCGATAAGCATCAGTTACCGAACTACCGCGACTGAAACTAGATTCAAGGCTAGAAGCTCGTGAAACACAGGCGCCGAGTGTCTTCACTTGAATACCCTCACGCTTCGTGACATCGAAAAGATTTTATCGCGATGAGAGCTTCCAAAGTGATTACTAACGAGAACCGGGAATCCTCCAATTATACAATCGCAATTGATAGTTACGGCTGATACGTTTGCCGTCCTCGCGATGTTAACTCTCTAATCGCATTAGGATATTTTCTTAAGCAAGTCGTTTTATTACGTCTCGTAATATATAGATATATGAAATATTTCATACAATATAAAATTCAAAGAATATAATAAAAAAATTATGGATATTCGGATAAAATATTAAATCTTCATGTAATATTATTTATATGTATTCATAAATTCTTTAGAGTGGAATTTCACTCTAAAAAGTAAAAATTGAACAGTGAAAATTGAACAGTTTTGAAAAAGAGTAGTTCAGTCTTCAATCTTTAATAGTGAGATTTCACTTTTTAAAATAACAATTCACTTTAAAAAAAAGTTTTAGAGAATATTTTTTATTGTAATCTATTTTTATAAAAGTTAGTAATTTATATATTATTGAATAATATGAGAGAAATAAAAGCTATAAAAGAAGCGTAAAGAAGACGAGTTTATATTCTAAATTAACAAAAAAGAAAAATATCTAGTATAGTCATTGAAATGGTGGGCAACATTGCAGACAATATGGCGGACGAATCATGGTCTTGAAAAATTAACTGGTCCCGAGTGTCGTACCCCTTTTGCGAGTGGGCGCCTTGCTCTAATACAGATTTATTGCCACCTAAGAGCCAGAGCCAGGCGTTCTAATACAGGTATTATGCTGACGCAGGCACGAGGAATTTACACGAAATTGGAGGTAATTTGTAGGGGTCGAGCGCAAACCCCTTCTACCATTGCCATCGCCGTCGACTCCCTTTCGGCCGCTACTACCCTACCCCATGTTACATCGTACCGGACTTGTGTGTGGCCGTGTATCCCGAAACTCTCCGGTAACGACTTGCTCGAAGGACGTAACTCTCTAGCAAGGGCTATCTACCTCGAAATATGCAGTCGCGTAGGCCGCTTTTTGATTTACGGAGTAGATCGTTAATTAAAACGTCACGGCTGATCGGTCGCGCGTATGGCGGTTTAATTAAAATTTTTTAATTGCCAAGCGTGCCTACGATAGGCGAATGATCGTATCGCGACGATCTTCCAAAAAAAGTAGTCTTTCTCTTTTTTTTTAACATCGGCGTTGTTTTTCATGACACCCTAACAATGGTATCGAAACATGAAACCAGTTATTATCGGAGATCGTGTCATGGTTTTCGGTGGGCGCAAAGAGCCTACCGTAAATTGTCGCGTATCGTTGACGAGATCGATCCGCTCGACACAGTTCGCTTCTGCGGTCTACGTGTTCTGGATAGGAAACTCGTTATTAATGATGAGAGCGCGAAGAGACTATATGCACTAATCGCGGATGATAATCCTTCAATTTCATCGGAGCGATCAATCTTAGTTTTTTTTACTTCGTTACCGATCACAGATGGATTTTTATAAATTGATTAGAACGATTACCCTATTTTTATTTTATAATGTTACTTCTTTCTGCATTTCTCAAGAAAATATGAATAAAAATTTTGTAAGTTTTAATTATAACTACCAACAAAGAAAACTACTATACAAGGCAAAAGATTACTATCGTGAGCGAGAAGAATAATAATGATGCTCATAAAATTAATTTGTCATTTTGTGCAAACGAATCAAAAGGTTTTTATTCCTTTATCCTTTCATCATCCCATTCGTTTCTTGATAACAAAGTTTTACAACCGTGCTTTTGAGACCGCGTGTTATTTAAAATTTTAATACACCTAAGGCGCGGAACGCAAACGCCATACTAGCTAGTGATTTTAATCTTGCTGTTATAATAAGAAATAAAGTGAACCATGTAGCAGGTTCGCGCTAATGCCATTGCTCGAGAGACATTCCTTCGTGTCACGCGATTTACATTGCGAGGTTAAAAGAATTTCGATAATACAATATGATGCGAATGGCAATTACCTAATTTAATTCTAACGTGAGACGCGTGATATGTGTATATGTGTTGCATTATATCTTCTCTGTTTTGAGAAGTAAACTATAATTTTTTAATTATAAAATGTAGAGAAAAATTATTTTACATTTTTAATTATTGTGTAAGTTTTTGTTTTTCATATTTTTTAAACAAATCGTTTCAAATGTACGTTCTGAATTTAATGGAAATATTGGATTGGGTACAAAAGTGCTACGAACTTCAAAATTCACGCAACTGTAATTTTGTTAAAAATAAATGAAATTTAAATTAGAAAAAAGTTTTAAAATTTTTACTTTCGAAAGATCATGTCTTTTGAGTTTCTGTAAATTTGGTAACTTTTACAGAAAACTACGAGCTGGACAAAATAGGAAATTTTCTTCTCACTTTGTGAGCTTGTGTCATGTGTATAAAAAAACTTACAAGAATTTTCAACTATCTAACGTGAAAGCTTAATCTTTTCTCCATAAAATTATTTTTTTTCTAAGATTTTGTTGAATGTTTCTAAGATTTTTTGTTACTGTGTCATCACGGATTAAACAAAAAGATTTTACATTTTATTTAATCTTTTGATTGCTCGTATCTCCGTTAAAAATCATCGCAATTTAAAAAACAAATTTTTAAAGCCGAAATTTTGCTTTATTGAATGGTATAATTGCTAAATTTTTTTTTTAAGTAGACATGATACAAATGAAGTAGCACTACGAACTATTATTCTAACCTAATACAATTCGACTATTTTTGATAATATAACATAAAATAAAAAAAATATGATGAAAAAATACGATAAAAAAGTATGATGAAATAAAAATTATATGAGAAAAAAGGATATAAAGTTATAAATTTCGATAGTAGTATTTGTAATCATTGTAAAAAATAAAATGTATTCATATTTTCTATTGAAAAAATATAATAAGAGGATAATAGAAAATTGCTGTGACGATAAACAAACTCAATGATTACACTAGTCATATTGTTGAGAGAAATAGTCGACCTACTTGACAGCAGTTTCATGATACGATTGTTCTCTTACCTGGCATGTTTCGGTCCGAGGCTAGGATCGTACATAGAACTTGCCGAGATGTCTTCATCAGGGATTTCTCCGCTCTCCATGCCTAACGCCGTAGTGCATTGTCCTGAAAACAATTCACGATGGCGTTGAACAAAATTTGATATCAATCTTCATTTCATTAATATCGCGTATTAAGGTAAAAACTTAAAGTGGAAAATGGTGACGTGGTGAATAATAGATCATGTGCGAGGATTCAGCCGAATCACATCATTGAATAATTAATTCTACATATTTGCATTTGCAGTCAAAGATTCTCGATAATTTTATTCTGGCATACCTAAGAATTTCATTTTCAACAATCTCGTCCGACGCTAACAGCACTATCGCAGAGATGTGCAAATTCTCCAACGAAATCCCTGGAAACGCCGGTCGCCACAAACATGTGACTTCGTATTCCGCTGGGTACATACAAGAAGCAATTTACAATCGTAGCGAGTACGCTCGTATTGCCTCTCTTTTCCGGTTTCTTTTTCTCCACGAGAGTTACCAGATATTTTCATGGTCACGAATAAAACGAATCGAGTTATAATGCAATAATGTAGAATAGGTATTTAACTAATTCTCTACTTATTGTTAACTAATACGTTATATTCAATCACTTTTCCTTTATTTTGCTATTAATATAACAAGACAAATGTCAGTAAAAACATAAAAAAATGAATTTAAAACATCTTATTAGCATTTTGGTTCGATGTATAAACGAAGATTCTTTCAACTTTTCAATATCCATAAATCGGAAACGTTGTAGAGACGAGGGATATTCATGTAAAATAATGTACAAACATTGCCGACTATTCGCGCAGGACGGCAATAAAACAATGCTTTCCGATATCTTTTTTCGCTATTGTATAAAATGTCTGTACAACGTCATTGCGAAAAATCGATAGCAGGAATATTAACTGGCAATGGCCAATGACAATGTCGGCATGTATGTACGTGGAATATGATAAATTTTCGAATCTACGGGAGTCAGCCCGAACCAGTATACCTCGTCGCCGCGCGCGTGCGACGTCGCTACGCTTAAACTACGGTACTGCAGTTATGGCAGAAAGTTTCAAAACTGCAGAATGCAGCGGACGTGGGATTAGCCCAGCCTCCGGAGCTACTACCGGCCGACCATGGTCTCCATGAGCCGGCATTACAGCGAACAAAACTTCGTTTGTGTTTGTAACTGTCCCCTACGTTTCACCTATCGTCCATTATACCGGTGAAACCTGGTCCAACGGTAGCGCGACTAAAATCTGCGCTCAATATGTCGAAAGATGTCAAATGCGAGATTACTGCGTTCCTCGTTTATAAGTCTTCTATAGTAATAGTCATATCATTATTAATGAATAAATCTACATTTTTCTTATATATATCAATTTTTCTTTTAATTGATTGTCAGAGGATTCAGAAAAGACAGGGAAAAATTTACTCGAGCGTGCAAAATCAATAAACTGAAAATTTTATCTATTTCTGAATTGGTAATTTGATAAACACTCAATCAAGTGAACAGTAGCTAAACAATTCAATATTTATATTCAGCGTATATATATACACATAATGTTCACAAATATAAAAAAAAAATCTATATAAAAAATATATATTCAATCATGACGTTGTCAATCATGAACAAAAATAAATGTGAGAATTTGTTATTGCAAACACGCGAAATGACTGCTAGAGATTAAGAAGATAAATATTATTACAAAATTACATTTCGAAAAAAATTGTTTGAAATACTGAGAATAGTTAATATATTGCATAAATGGCATATAATTCATTTAACGAGGTTCCATTTAGCAGAAGTTCTTTCCATCATGTATTTGCTGTTTTATTAAAAATTTTACAAATGGAAGTTATAACTTTTACAGTGCACTATCAACTGGCTTCTTCGCATTTTTTCATAAAAATGGCGTGCTTTTCCTTTGTTATCAGAATTTATTACGTTTTTTCTTTATATTGCTTTTTTTAATTTAATAAAAAATTATTACACATTTAATGCCTGAAGTTATTGATCCAGTTACTAATATATTTTTCATTAATTTGTCAGACTCTGTGATGTATATCAAATTTGAAGACATTATCCATTGAAATTATTTAGTTCTATCGACATCATTCGAGACTACACGTATTAATGTACATGTTGGAAAACATAGTCTAAATTTTGAAAAAAATTAATATTTTACATTAGTATGAATTACTTACTAAAATGTCAAAAATGAAAATTTTTTTTTAACATGGTTCCACTAAAATTCCTTGATTTTAAGGAATTAATATTGTGCGCTCGAATATAAAGACTACAGTATTAATTGGGACTCAAATAAAATTCAATAATTAGATTTAGTTTCTAAGAGATTTGAGAGAAAATAAATTTGAGAAAGTTATCTTACATTTTCACGGCGCATACGCTCGCACGTGTATGTATGTATGTTTGTATTTGTATGTTTATGTGTAAAATTATAATATTATCTAATAAACGTTAGAGTTCCTCTCTCTATTCAGGTTGCGCATCTCGATCGTATTTGCATCTAGTATTCGCCTTTATACTGAATCCATTAATGCGATACAGTGTGTGTGTGTGTGTGTGTGTGTGTGTGTGTGTGTGTGTGTGCGTGCGTGCTTGCGTGCGCGCGAATATGTGTGCGTGTGCGTGTGCATGTGTGTGTGTGCGCGCGCGCGCGCGCGCGTGTGTGTGTGTGTGAAATTGAAATGAACTAGTAATTTTCAACCTGGATTTAGCGAACCACAATCGTTTGCATCCGATGTTTCGTGTCCGAAAATTATGCAGCAAATAAAATCCTCGTCGTAGTTAATCAACCGTTGCATTGTGTCCTTCCAACAAAACAGACATGCGATACGAAGAACATGAAATATCGATAGTATTATTTTAATAAAAGGATGATTTCTATTTATTGATGATTTCTATTTAATTTCGAATAGAGTTAATATTTCCTCATTTGTTTGTAATATATAAAGTGTTAATGATAATTTTGAAAGTACAATATCTTCGATAGGGCAATTTGTATATTTTTACATTTGTATATTTTGTATCGTTGTACTTTGTACAAAAGTATGACGCATCGTACAATGTCGTATACAATGTACATATCAACGATAACGGCTATGAACTCGAGCTTTAGTGTCATGCCCAAAGCAATAAGTCAAGCTGACATATTGGAATATCCTAGATGCGATGTATTTTCACGTAACGTGTAGGATAATGAACGATTTCAATGATTCGTGACGTGATTGACAGTCCAATTCACCAGAAGCTGAAATGTATTCAATAATGATAGTCAATAATTAATAATTAATATTTATACGATATTATTAATTATTCCATTTAAATATTAATTATTAATTAACATATGGAAATTAAATTATTTAAAGAAATAGATATATATGATGCTGGATAAAAGACCCAAATAAATCTCAAAATAATAATCTAATAATAATGATCTAATAATAATTTAATACTTTATAAATATAAAATGCATGAAAGAAATATTAAAAAATGTTATATATAAATTTATAACAACTTTTCTACATACTTTAAATATTATAATTTCAAATTATTCTTATTTTGTAAATGATATAAAGCACAAAAGAAGATTCATGGATATCAATACGAACAAAAATAAGCTAATGTGTTTTCTTTGTTTTAAAGTAAATACTTTCATTTAACGCAGCATCGTCTTCCAAGCAACAATTAATTTGCATAAAAATATAACGGATGAGCGGTAAACAACGAATCAGAAGCGTGGCACGCCAGAACGAATCGGCACAATAAACAGGTTTCTCGCTCGTCTGCATCTGAGCAGCTATTAGATAGTATTGTTAATTCATCGTGCGGCTGACATTTCATTTACGAGGGTACAATACCTCAGTGAGGCCAGGTGTATATACGAAGGGATGGTATTATTGCGTATGCGCTTCAGTGATAGAGAAAAAAAATCATTACGCATTCTCGGTCTTGTCATGCCTTTTCCGTATGCGCAACAAACAAAAAGAACTTTCGTCTTGTTCGCGAAATTTCCTTATCAACATGTTGTATTCTGAATTTTTTGTACAATTTAGCAGTGTAATAAAAAATAATATTAACGTTCACATTATAATCGTTCACATTTTAATCATTGCCCTTATAAAAGTGTTTCATTGATGAAAAAAATATTTATAATTAAATAGACTGTACGATCGTGAATAAAAAATATTAAAAAACAGAGTAAAATAAGAGAACGATAAGTAATAAAGCAATCTTTCAAGCAATTAAAACTGATGATGTTGTAATTAACTTATAAACACGTTGCCGGCGGCAGTTAGTTTATTATAGAGTTTGATTTACTTCATATTTCATCATACGATTTATTTTCTCTTCGTTCTTATACAATTTTCAAACACTAAGTTTGCAATAAGAATAGCGTGAATCTAATTAAATTGAAATTAATAAAATTACAAAATTTATTTATAAAATTATACTGAATATATAATAACATTAAAAAATCTTGTTTCGCATTGACATGCGTAACAAGATTTTTATAACATTTTATATTAAAGAAGTTTAAAGATTACAAATTTGATGTAACTTATATAAATAAATAAATTAAATTTTAGTGAAAAATTGTTTTTGAAAAATTATAGATATGCGAGACACATACTCGTACTTGTTTTGAGGCTATAAGCATTTTAGTTCGGAGAAACTTCTTGTGGTTGTCTCCACGGGATTGCTTCGTATAAGATTTTCAATCGCAACCTCCTGACTTCGCGCGACGACAGTCCGCTCTGGGACAATGGAGAAGATTGTAAAGAGAGTGACGGAAGTTGAAAGGGGTCAAAAGAGTGTCAGCACTTTTCGGAAGTCATAAAACTTGGGTGTGTGACGCGTATGAGAGTTCGAATTCGACTTACCTAGATCTGTGCAGCGACAACGCGGCAGGGACAATAGGATGAAGATGGCGATCAGAAGTCCTCGAAGTGAAGTTGAATCGACGCTTGGACCAAGGACTGGCATGTTACTAGTGACTCGGGCCGTCGGCACGCCGATAACTTGCTCCTCCTCATCACTAACTATCCGCTGTCCTGACCGCATCGGTCATCAAGCACGTTCCTGGCATCGTGATGGTCGCAAGGTGGTTACAGGCTCGTGTCGATGTCCTGAGCACAGAGTAATTTGTGTTAGTTGTCCGCAGACACCTCGGCAATGTCGTGGAGTATGAACGGATGGTATATAATGCAAGAGATAATATTTACAGACTTGAAACAAAAATAAACATTTAACAGCCGTGTAACTTCCTTCACATACGTTCATTTAATGTAATCATAGCAAACGATTGTGTCCCGTTTCATTGATAAATTTATCTTCGTGCAACGATTCTCCATGAAAACAGTGTCGGTTGCTATCGCGAAAATGTATTGTAGCTAGGACGTTACAATGGAATTAACTGCCAAGGTAAATTTACCGCCACGGAATAAAAGAAAGTAACTTTTGCCGTTAAAAAGTGAGGAAGTGTTCTTTTATATATATATACGTATCCTTTATATATATATATATATATA